CTGGTTCCATATCCAAACGTCTTGAAGGAAATGCCTATCCTGTCTTCCTAGATCTCTGGTTAACTGAAGTCTGCAGCCCAGGGCTCAGAGGGTGTGGTGTGAACTGGGCAAAGGCACAAGGCAGAGCTGGGGCTCCTGGCATGTTACTGCTAAGCCAGCTGGAACTGGGGGTGGAGCAGCAAGCACCCTTCCCAAAGGCGCCTCTGACCCTGCTCCAAAGGACGTGGGAGAATTCAGAAGTGCTTCCAATAACCCCAAGGCCCAGCGAACAGATATCCTTGTTTAAACAAGGTTTCTTCAAACCCAGATCAACGAAAACCTCCAACACTTTATCAGTAGTGACATTTAATAAGACAGCACAGCAGAGTCTGTAGCACATCACACAGGTGACATCATATAGGGCTGCCACAAGGTGCGCCTCACAGCACATCAGTGGACTGGCTTTAATGAGGTGCCAGGTAGGCTTTGGCAGAGCTGCCCCAAGACTCCTGGGCCAGGACTTGTCCATGAGAAGCTTGGCCATAACTAGGTCAACTCCCTAAGCAGAAGGAATGGCCAGAGGCGCCAGGCAGGCCTGGCTATGTCAGGACCAGAACTGCAGCCCTTCAGCATGGGAAATATTCTGGGAGATGCCTAAAGATAGGGCCTCATTTCAGGACTCTCAGTCCCAAAGAGGCTTTCCTGGACCCCATCAAGCCAGCTTTGCTCATTAAATTTTCCAGCAACTGGAGGGGCCTCTAGTTCCTGCTCCAAGTGCCCAACATTGTGCTTTCCCAAGATTTCTAGCCGCGGAGCCCACCTGGAGGGCAGAAATGTGAAGGAGGCCAAGTCCAACAAAGGAAGGAAGAGAACAGCACCCCTTTCCATGCACAAGGCAGAGCCAAGCCCACTTCCCACCCTGCAGAGGCTCCTCTCCAGCCATCTGGAACCTTCCGGTGCCATCTGGTCATCTCCATGGTTGCTGGGGTGAGCGAGGCAAGGGTCAACAGGTCAGGCTTGCAAAAGCTGGAAAGATGTCGCATCTCCTCCCAGGCCCACTCCTGGGAAAACACTGGTAAAAAGGGCCTTTCAAACCCACCCTTCCATACCACGTACCCTGGGGAGGGTTTGGAATTTCCTCTTAAGCCAAGCTCATGTCTCCAGGAGCATGACCCCAAGTGGCAGGGTCAGGCACAGGAAAGCCACGCGGACAGGATCAAAGCAGGCAGCCTGGAAATCCACGTGGACAGAATCAAAGCCGCAGACTGCAAGACCCCAGAGGGTCCTCGGAGATGCCTTGGTTAAGCATCCTTGTCTGATCAGTGACAAAACTGTGGGCACAGGAGTGAAATGGTCCATTCAGGGCCACTGAGGAGGCCACAGGCACAGTAAGGAAAAGAGGCAGGTTTCTGCCTGTCACCTCCATCCACCCTCTGCCTGTCATCTCTGCATCTCATCTCTGGTTCTCCCTAACATGTCTCCCAGCTCACCTCAAGCCCCAGCTCTGAGTCATGAGTAAAGTCCTCTAGAGGGCACTTTGCTGGGTACAACATCCCCAGGTCCCTGCCAGACTCGTCCTAAACGCGGGGTCCGTCCTCATTCTTCCCCTCCCTCCTCTGGGCAGGAACTTTCAATCTGCATGTGGGTGGGCACCACAGTGGGTGGGAGTTGGGCAGACGTGGGTTGGAGGAATGCCCTGGTTCAAGACAGGAGCCCACCACACCTAGGCAACCCGAATTTCCTACTTCAGCGAGCTGAGTCCCTGAAACAACAGTGTAGGTGCAACACTGTCCATGAGCCCTGGGGTGCTGCTGTTGAAATCCATATGCCTACACAAGTGCCAGCATGTTTGGCTCAGCCCCCCCAGAACCTGTCCACACACCGCTCCTGGGAGTCCTCAGCAGCAACCCTCCCAACGCATAGCCATGTTTAAACACCCATTCTGGTTCCATGATGTGACATTTATCACCCGATTCTCCTGTTCCCAGCTTCCCCATCTCTGGAAAAACAAACAAAAAACCCTTTTAGGGGCTGGGGTTGGGACACAGCAGTAGAGCACTCGCCTAGCTGAGTTCCTGAAACAACAGTATTGTTCCTGGGCTTCCCTGGCCTGCCCTCTGGCAAGGGATCCTGAGCTGGGGTCATGCTGGTCCTTACCAGCCCCTTCAAGCCTGGTTCCCATATGCTCTGTCACTGTGCATTGCTGTGTATGACACAGCCTGGCAAGCTTACTCCCGCATTTAGCCCAAGGAGAGGAAGAGACCGGATGTAAGAATCAGTGCACCCACTATATCATGTCTAGGACTCATGTGGCCCATCCCAGGGACCCTGAAGCTCAAAGCCTCAGATCAGCACTCCACCAGTGGAGGCCCTTGCTAGCTCCTGCCTTTGAGGGTCTCCATTTCTGCTAACCCTCCTGGGTTGTAGGCACAGGTATATTTCAAATCACCTCCATCGGTCTGAATATAAGGTGCATCGTTTTAATTAAGCAGAAAAGCCCACCATCTCTCCAGGGCTTTCCTGAGCCTGTAGCTAACCCCTGCTCCATCTTGGAACCCCAACAGAGCTTGTTTCCCAGCCAAAGTAGCATTTCCCCTTCAGTGGGCATGCAGTCCAGCTCCTGCACGTTGGAAAGCAGCAGTGCCTGCCCCCAGTCCATCTCCAGGCCCCGGCCCCAGCCCTGCTTCCTTCTGAAGCAATACCTACACTTCTGCCTCTCTGCCACACCTCAGCCACAGCAACCTGGCTTTCACCACACACACACACACACACACACACACACACACAAGTGCAGTCTTCAAGGCACAGAGGCTTGGCCACTCCCTCCCTCTGAAGCCCCCTTCTCTTTGGTTTCTGGTTGTCCTCCACCCTCCCTGGCCTCCCAGCTCATGCTGCACCTCCTCTACCCCTCTCTTACGCAAGCACTAGTGTTTCCAGTAAGTCTCTGCCCTGGCCGCCCACACCAACAGCTGCATTCCTCACCTGAGCACTGAAAATCCCCAAACCCGCAGGCATGTCCAGCTTGGACCCTTAGAGTGTTCCACCAACCCGCCTACACCACCCCCTGCTGCAGCTCCCATCACCAACAAGCTGCCCGAGATCCTACTCCTCAGCCATCCCTCCTCCAGCCTTAGGACTGAGTTCCAGACCCACGAGTCCCCCAGATGTTGCTGTGGGAATGTCAACAGTCCACAGGGTCCTCTAATGCTAGGAGTCTAACACCATGAAAGGCTCCATCACTCCATAGTTATTCACCCAGAAAACCCTGCAGAGGCCACCCACTGATCCCCTCAAGAAATGTGGATGGAGGCTCTCACCAGGCACCAGGGTCCAGGTGCAGGAGGAGGTGGAGAGTAAACCAAGCAGAAATGGTTCTTGCCTCCAGGGAACTATCATTCAGTCACCCAGTTCTTTCAAGTCTACCTGCCACTCTCCTCTGAAACACTTGACTTTTCTCCACCCCCATGGTCACTGCCCGAGTCCAGGACAGTATGCCACAGGGGCAAGAAAGTAGTACCACAGGGATGCCAGCTCTGAAATGTGCGCTGTGGGACCTTGGGAAGACACTTTCTCTGTTTTTTCACCTGACAGATAAAGATGATAGCAATGCCGACCTCACAGCCTTGTTGCAAGATTAAATGAGACACGAAGCCTTTACAACAGTGTCCAGAACACAGCCAACAATCTATAAACACCTGCAACTATCGCAATCCCTGCCAATCCAACAGCCTCCCGGGTATGGCCCACTCCACAAGCACCCACCCCTCCCGTCCCCACGAGCCACTCCCTGTCTCCAGCCCTTTCTGACTGACTCGCCCCTAGACGTCTTTTCTCCATCTCATTTCCCAAGCCTCAATTTAAGGCCAGTGCCCCTCTCTTGTGCTCCCTCCTCTAGAAGACCCCAACCTCATCCCTATGAACTAGGACCACTTCTCTCCTTGTGCTTCCCCACTCCTTGGAGAGCACTGTGTCCGCCTCTGTATACCCAGGCCTTAGAATCATTTTGTCCACAACAGGGGCTGGAGAAACATTTCATAACAAACAAGAAAAACACAAGAATTGCCAAGAGGCAAATTTCAAGTCACTATAACAACAAACAAAAAGCACTTCCTAATAATTAAGCCACACTTATTAAGCATGTACTGAGTGCCAGGCTCTGTGTTAAGCTTTGGACACATGTAATCCAATGATCATGTCAGATGTGGGTATTTTTATCCCTGTTTCACAGGTAAAGGGATGGAAGCTGAGGAAATCCTTAAAACTTGCTCAAAGTCACGCAGCTAGGAGGTGGTGAACCTCAGAATTTGAACCCAGCGTCATTAGACTTCAGAACCCATTTCTCACCCAGCATTAGCCCAGCTCAGATTGCAGTCCACCAGGAGTGGCCTCGTGGGTCCACAAGAGCACCCTCCTCTGCTGGGACCTTAGGAGGGGCTTCCTTTAGAAGTAGAACTAAATTCTCTGAAGGTCCTTCCTTCCAAGACTCCAGGATTCTAGGATTTTAAATCATTAGCTCCTGGGTGGTTCATCTTGGCTTCCTCTGAGGCTGAGCTCCGAGTAGGCAAACAAGAAACCCAGGTTGAAGCGGGGCATGGTGGCACACGCCTGTCATCCCCACAGCTCAGGAGGCTGAGGCAGGAGGATCGAGAGTTCAAAGCCAGCCTCAGCAAAAGCTGGGTGCTAAGCAACTCAGTGAGACCCTGTCTCTAAATGAAATACAAAATAGGGCTCAGTGGTTGAGTGCCCCTGAGTTCAATCCCTGATACCAAAACAGAAACCCATGTTGAATGAATGAACCAATGAGTGAACGGGGGAGTGGATGACGGATGATGAATGGATCTGTGGATGAACAGAGAAGTGAGGGAAGGGAAAGAATGCACGGCAACGTGTTCTGCACGTGTCCACATTGGCTTTAACCTCAGCCCCTGGCAGTGGACCCCAAGGAATGCAGAGAAGGGGAAAAACCAGGAGGCGACACAGCACCCTCAAGTCAGCGCCCCAGAGGCGCTGAGCGCTCCTACCGGCACAGGTGGTCCGTCCGGCACAGGCTGCGGAGGTCCAGGCAGTTGGGCTTCTCCTTGTCCTCGTAGGAGCAGCTGGGCAGGATGGTTTGCCGGCGGCGCTCGGCACATGCCTGGTCTTGGCAGGAGCAGAAGAGCATGCGGTAGGTGTACTCGCTGGGCACCCGGTCGAAGAACTGGCGCAGGGCCTTGTGGCACTTGCGGCGGTTGCAGCGCTCGGTGGGTGAGATCTCGCGGTTGCAGATGGAGATGTAGGAGGAGCGCAGCTTCTTGCAGTTGTCGTTCAGGTTGCAGGCCTTGGCAGCATCCAGGCAATGGTTGCTCTTGGCGCTGACCGCCGGGTCTGCCCCGGTCCCTGGAGGGGAAAGCACAGCACAGGTCAGAGGCCCCGAGATCAGCATGGCTTCCCATGCCCCCTCTGCCTCAGTTTCCTCCTCTGTGAAACCGATCGCTTCACAGGACCCACCTCCTGAGGTCGTGGTAAGAACTGAAGGCGTTAATATCACATCCAGAAATAACTCAGGACAGTGCTGGGCACAGGGTGTGCTGGGCAGCTATTAGGATGACTTAGTCCAAAGTCCTATCTTGAGCATAAAAGGCAAGCAATGAAGTGTGCATGACCATGTTCACCAACGCAGGAATCAGGGTGAGTGGCTCAAGGTCACACAACTAAGGGGACCCTGACTGCCCTCGGGAGCACACGTGAGCAGTGCCTCAGGGAAAGGGCACCACTGGCTCTTAGAGGGGCACAGTGCTGGTTAAGGGTCTTCAGCAGCCAGGGCACAAGCAGCCTCCCAACCCCGCCAACTGACCACAGAAACTGCCCCTAGATATTCAAATGCTCCCTCTTATCCAGGGAAATGTGGCTGCTACTGCCACCTAAAAAGGAAGCCCTGAGCTGGGAGTCCTGCAGATGTGAGGAGCTCGTGCACCACCAGCCACAGGGCAGGTGTGCTGGACTCCACCTCAGTGTAATGAGGTGCCACTGCCCAAATGTCTTGGCACAAAGCAGTATTTCCAGGAATCGCTATGCTGCCTCTGCGGTCCTGCCCCTCCCTACAAGGCTCAGTTGTTCTAAGGAGGCTCATGGCTCAGGACCACCAGACCCTTTCCCGCCAACCAGTTGCCACCTATAGACCACCTCCCATCTGGCCTGTGGACAGGCAGACGGAGAGGGTGGGACTCAGACAGCACATGCCCTCCCGAGAGCCAGGGGACAGATCCTCCATCCCAACCTCTTTATCTTATAGACAAGGAAACTGAAGCCCTGATGGGCAAGGGGCCATCAGGTCACCCAGCACACGGGCAGCAAGACAGAGAGGGAGCCCGATCACCACCTTCACCAGGAAGAACCGCTGGCTTAGGGCTGCAGATTGGCACAGCCTCTCATCCCCTCCTCTCCCATCCTACTGAGGTTTTGGGGGTTTTCCTCTCCCCGTGTATGGTCCAGCAATGGCCAAAGGAGGCCGAGCATTTGTGGCAGACAGCCTGGTGTCAGTTGCTTGGTCATTCCTACTGAGTGCTGTGTTGCCCCAGGCTCACCCTTCCAACTCCTCCCGACAACTCTGCCTGAAAGCCCAACACCCACACCTCAAACCCAGACCCCCAAGGCCACCCTCACCCTGACAGTCTCCCTCATCCTGCTGTGAACAGCTGCACTCTCTAGTACCCAGGGACAAAGCTCTTGACGTGTCCCTGACTCTTATTCACACACACCAGAAAACCCAGAGGCCCAGCCTGCAAGTGTCCAGCGTCCTCCCCTTAACCCACCACTACTGCGACCACAGTCCAAGCTGCCATCACTCTGTGCCTGCAAAAGCCTCCTGCAGGTCCCCTCTTGCCCTCTGCCCCACCCAGGACAGCCTTCTCTCATCACAGCAGCTGGAATGACAACCTTCCGGAACCTACAGCAGACAGGTATCATTCCTGGGGCTCCGAGCCCCCGCTGGCTTCCCCATCTCATTCCAGACCTCAGCGTGACCTGCGAGATTCCGTACTTGTGCTGTCCACAAGCACAAGCCACAGATGGCATTGAACTTGAAATGTAGCTGGTACATTTTGAATGTGTACACAAGATTTCAAAATACGAAATTGTGAAAAATTGATAGGGAAAAAAAAGCACCTCACTATTTTTTTTTTTTAAGAGAGAGAGAGAGAGAATGAATCTTTTCTGTAGATGGACACAACACAATGCCTTTATTTTTATGTGGTGCTGAGAATCGAACCTGGGTCTTGCCTAAGCGCCCTACCGCTGAGCCATAATCCCAGCCCTTTTTTTTTACTTTTGATTACACATTGGAGGGATATATGTTTTGGAGATATGTTGGACAAACGTAGTATTAATCTTGCCCATCTCCCTTCACCTTTTAACATGGTACTGAAACACTTAGAATTCCTTGTCAGCAATGCATATGAGATCTCTTCACCTGCACTGCTTCATGGAACCTGGCCTCCTACTCCCTTCACCCAGCTCACTCTGTTCCAACACTGGCTTCTGTGATCTTCCTGGAACATGCCACTGTGGCCTGGCCTCAGGGCCTTTGCAATTGCTGTTTCCCAGATCTGAAAGGTTCTTCCCTTCTCCCTGTGACCACACAGCAATTTCCCTCATTTGTCTCAGGTCTCTGCTCAAATGTTACCTCATCGGGGAGTCTTCCTTGACCACACTGCACGTAAAAACCACCCCACGCTGCATTCCCTCCCACTCGGATCTATCTTCCCATGGCACTCAGCACCACCTGCCACTGTACATGCTCACTCATTTGCTTGTTTGAATCAAATGCAAGCTCCATGAAGGCAGGAGCTGGGTGGGCATGCTGTGCTCGTAGACCATGTGTCCGACACAGGGGTGCTGATCAAGTATTCAATCAGCAAAAGGATAAATGTACTTAGAACAATGTCTACTTTATAGCAAGTCCTCAAAAAAAATAGAAGTTTCCAATAGCATTAAGGAAGCAAAACTGACCCGGAGCAGGCCACAGGGGTCACTACAAGACCATGGGTAATTAAGTATCAATGTGGGGCCAGAAGCGGCTCAGAGTGAAGGCTGGGGCATGACTGATGGAAGGAGACTGAGTCACTCTCCCCATCACCTGGCTGGCCAGCAGCCCTACAAAGACAGGAAAGGAAAAGTTCCTCTACCTTGTTGGAAAAATAAAGGGGGCAGTGGTGGTGCAACCAGACAATAGAATATCATTCAGTAATAAAAGGAAATGAGCTACAGAGCCATGAAAAGACATGGAGGAGGCTCACAGGCCATAAGCCAAACATTCGATTCCAACTATATGACATTTTGGAAAAGGGAAAACACAGAGTCAGGAAAAAAAAAAAAAAAGTGGTCATTAGGACTCAGGGGAAAGAAGAAGATGATGAACATGTGAAGAACAGAGGCTTTTTTGTTTTTTGTTTTGAGGAGGTTTTTTGGCATCAAGGATTGAACTCTGGGGTGCTTACCCACTAGGCCATATCCCCAGCCGTTTTTTATATTTTAGAGACAAGGTCTCGCTGGGTTGCTTAGGGCCTTGCTAAGTTGCTGAGGCTGGCTTTGAACCTGCGATCCTCCTGCTTCAGCCCGGCAGCACAGAGTGTTTTTAGGGCAATAAAACAACACTGTAATGGTGGGAACATGTCATTGTGCATTTGTCCAAAGCCATGGGACGGACACCACCAAGCGTGAACCCAATGTCAGCTATGGGCTGCTGGTGGTAATGGCGTGGGGCCGCAGGGTCATCAGCTCTAACAGACACACTGGGGATGTGGATCATGGAGAGGCTGTGTGCATTTAGGGGCAGGAAGCAAATGGGAACTCTCTTTACCTGCTCTCAATTTTGCTGAGAACCAAAAACACTCCAAAAAAGAGTTGAGGGAAATTCAGACCAAAAAGGAGTCAATGATTGTTTTCTTAATCCTAACATCATACATCTTTATTGAGGACTTACTATGTGCTAGACAGTCCACACGAAACCCTGCACGAAATCCAGCTGAGGACAGAGGAGCAGCTGGAGCCAATACTAATGCTAAGCTCTGAGTTGAAGAAGTCGGGGTACAGAGCACCCACCTGGAGCTGCAGAGTGGTGGACAGAGCAATGCTTCTGCTCAGAAAGAGTCAGAGAGCAGGAAGGGCCCCGGCAGAGGGGACCCAGGGGCAGAGGCTGGGAGGAGCAGAAAGCAATTCATCATGCCTGGCAACGGAAGCCCAGGGGGAAATGACAAGAGGCAATTCTGCAGAGCCGGCCAAGAGACTCGGGGCCACGCTGGGGCATTTGAGCTGCCATCAAACCATTCCGTGTGGCCAGGCAAGGACCCAAGGACGCCTGTCAACACCAAGCCCTCTGTGCAGGGTTCTCCCAGACCAGCGGCTCCATGCACCTGTCACATGCCGGCTGGCAGTGGGGAGGGAAGAGCACGGAGGCCTGGGGCTGAGGTGGAGGAAAGACAAGGAGGGACTCCGCGGAGGATCAGGCAACGACCGCAAGCAGAACAGCAGCTAATTTAGGCCTGTGGCTGCTTCTGGGCTCCCCAGGTGCTCTGTTCCCGCTCCTCTCAGCATGTTCCTGAGCTAATGCCAGTGTAATTATAGCCTCAGTGGCTTCCATTTGGAGCCTGAATAGTGAAAGCATTTGCTAGGGGGGTGGGAAATGTAAACCCCTGGGCCCGAACTTGGTAAATTTCCTAGAAAAAAAGGAAAAGAAAGAAAGAAAGAAATGTGGCAACACCAACAGCTACCAGGAAAGATGGCCCTCTGATCCTGCAGGTGAGAACCCCAGGATGGGGCCGTGCTGCACTATGGAGAAAGACCCACCTCTGCCAGCTTCTCTCCAAGCAAGACGCCCATCCAGCTTCGCCAGGAGCCCGTCAGTCAGGACAGGGCTCAGCACGCACAGGTGCACACACACCGTGGAGAGCTCATCCCCAGCACAGCCTCCCCCGCCCAGCCCTCCCACTGCCTTTCTACCCACCCGAAGGCTCCTGGCCCTCACTGGGCAGAAAGGAGTGGGAGATTCCAAGGCAGCTCGCCCTCCAGGACCCCTGCTGCTCCTCAGCCAGCGCTTCAGGCTCAGCCCGAAGCCAAAAGGTGCCCAGGGCAGGGATGAGGATGCCAGAACCTTAGGCCTCTCTCGCTCCCCACCCCTGCCCACTGCAGAGAACTGAGGGACTTGGGAGCTGGAAATACACGCCAGGCCTGGCTGACCTAGGACAGCCTGTCCCCGGCACATGTTGCCACTTGGCCCTGGTGGGTCGGTCGCCCAGGCCTGCAGAGAAGAGCAGAGATGGGCCAAGTGGTAAATGGCAACAGCTGCCCAAGAGAGGCGACAAGGGATTTAATGACCCTTGGCACTTTCCAAAACCTCAGCA